TACAAACTTTCATGTCCCCTTTCAACCCCTTACAACCCTTTATTCGCATTAAAATGTAGCCTATATCCATTCTCAGGGTTTAGGCAATCAGTGTATCCAATTTCATTTAAATCAGTTAAGTAGTTTTGGCGTGAATGCAAGACAGATAGACAGACAGAGTTACTTTCGCATTTATAATATTAGTAAGGGTTGTTAAGGAAGTAAGGATTGAAATGGTACATTGTTCTGGGTGGATGGATGATTCACATACTTGGAGCACTCTCATACAGATGGTAGGAGCAAACTTTCCATTCAGGCATTATATGCTTGTTTTGTCTGGCTACTAGACAGAAGTACTTGTCTCAAATATAGAATACAATAAACGTTGTTATCATAGACAACGATCAAGTGATCCGCGAAAGTGGAGTGAAGCATGTTTACGAGAGACGTGGATAGATTTCGGAGCATCTGCCAGTGATAGAGCGCAAAGAAAGATTTTCACCGCGCACCGGCTGATCTTTGGTCACACGTGTCGTGGATGCTAACTTACTGTTTATTTTGTAAACTTTAAGTTTCTGAAATACTTCTGTTGTTTATGCTGGATTTTATATTCAAATTCAAAAATCATTTATTCATGTAGGACATTTTAGCCGCTTATGAACGTCAAGTTTTTACATTATAATTTTTTTTCCCTACCGTCCAGTTCGGTATATAGATCCAATTGAGAAGAACTGGCAAGAAACTCAATTGAATTACTTTTTTTTTTAAAAGCCAGTTTATTTACAATTTATATTTATATAGGTGTCTATGTCTAACATTAAATGAAAATCCCATAATGAACAACTATTGCCATGCACGCTTGTTATTCAAGTAATCGTTTAGTGAGTAAATATGATTTAACAGATGTTTTGAATTTATTTAAGGGTAATTCCAATATATCCTTTGGTATCTTATTGTAAAATTGTATACCTATTCCCATAAAAGACCTATTGACTCTTTCTAAACAATACTTGGGGACAGCAAGTTTATCTTTAAATCTAGTATTAATATTATGAATATTGCTGTTTTTCGGAAATAAGTCAAAATTTTTATGAACAATTTATGTATTCAAATATCCTTTAGATAGATAGATATTTGAATATATAAATTGTTCATAAAAATTTTGACTTATTTCAAAAAACAGCAATGCTTTGAATTTCTCTCTTAATGAGTCACGACTCTTCATACAGTTGATCGCTATTTCATTCGTTCATAATTTTAGGGCCTTTATATATAACTCTGCCGTCCAACAGTTTTGGTCTATTATTGTTGGGTTACTCATAATTCAAGATCGAATTCGAAGAAGAAAAAATTATCGATTAAGAAGATATGGATCTTCTTATTCGATAAGTTCTTGGCAGAACGGTCGTGGTTATTACTTAACACTCAACACTCAACACTCAACACTCAACACTCAACACTCCTTTTAAACACTTCACACTCTTATGCAATAATTCTATTTTCTCTTTTGTTTTTCATATTTATTTTATTATATGAATTGATAATAATTTCCTATATATTTTATGCCTATATGTTATACATATTTCTTGTTTTATTATAGTTTTTTTTTTTAATATATTAATATTTATGATAATGTAATAGGGCTGATTACAAGCTGTGGTCTTGTTACATGCGTCCTCGCGTATGTCTCTGGGCAGTGCCTGTATATCAGTGGTTTGCTGCTTGTATGCTGCAAACAATACACTGAGGTGCTGCCTTTTTACGTATGGGCTATGCACACACACTACGTTACTCATACCGTTTTTTGTTATCTGTATTGCATTTTATTTTATCTGTATAATTGTTGTGTATTGTATTTTGTTTGACTTCACTAATGTAATGTGTATATCTGTTTTATTTTTGTTCTTATTATTACAGTGCCTTTTGTGTGTGTGTGTGCCTTTAACGTGAATAAAATTTTTATCTATCTATCTATCTATCTATTATGTAGTGGAGTGAGAAGCAGATGACACCGCCTTACGATCGCCATTTCTTCCTACTGGCTGCTATTCTGATACACACTGCATTGACTAATTCGGTTCATAGCAAGAATCATTGTCTACGAGGTCTTGTCCAGTCTGGTCCTTTATATATACTGAACATAAAATTACTACTTTTAATTTGTTAATTTTGTGACATAAGAAAAATATAAGATTCTATTTTACTCTTTTTACATCGATTTATTTTATTTAGTTATAGAGTAGATTCAATATGCACATAATGTACCGACATACAAACATATAATACACTGGCGTTTGCCTGCGGCTTTACTCGCGTTAATTTATCCCCTTTGGGGTGGAATTTATACTGCTTACGTCATAGTAACTTTATGCATGCAAAGTCTCAGCCCGATCGGTTTAAAATTGACAAAGTTTCATACAAACTTTCATCCCCTGTTTTATCCCCTTGGGGGCAGAATTAATCAAAATTCTTTCTTAGCGGATGCCTACGTTGTAACATCTACCTGCAGTCCAAATTTCAGCCCGATCCGTCCAGTAGTTTGGACTATGCGTTGATAGATCACTATGTCAGTCACCTTTGAGTTATATATATTTAGATACAATATTACCCACCACAACTTTATAGCAGCTAAAACTTGTTGCCTTCAGATTTCAGAAGGATGTACATATAATCCAAATTTTGTCAATTTTCATTATAATCTTTATTTAAAACCTCGTTCTGGTGTTCTGGCTGATTATAGTAGGTAGATCTCACAAAATTGCCACGAGAAAGGAAATAAAGAAATTGATGAAATAATTTTTAGTGTCGGCCTGTTTGAACTCATGGCCTTAGGATGTGATAACGTAAGTTGGGATAATAACATTATCAGTTTCTATTTAGTGACTATGTAATGTAAAATTAAAATATTTATTTAAAAAATTGTAGATAAATATTGCATGTCGTATTTTATCTGTACCTATGTCTAAAAATTCTCTAAAAATTATCCAAATCAAATATTAGACATTTTTATTTAAATAAATACATATTTTTATAACTAACCCTACCGTCCAGTTCAGCTAGCTACATCTATTGGGTAGAATTGACATGAAACTCAACTACTTTTGGTTTTTGAATAACAATTTCTAATTCTGCGTTAGGCACAAGTACTTCAGCTACAGATGTACTTACCAATTGCAACACAGAAGGGAAATGATGTACACCAAGCGCCGCAACCTTACCTTGACTCGAGAAAAATCATAGTTTCGTCAGCATATTGCGTAAATTGGTCGTTAGCACCTAACCTTAGGACGTTACTTAGTGCGTAAACATAATACTAGTTCTTATTGCGATAGCTTTAGCTGCGTATATCCAATGATACCGTATAATGACCTGGAGGTACGTGCACGAACTATAATGATCAGATTATAAGCTTGGCAGTAAATGCAATGTTGCCAGATTGGTGGTTTTCCCCAGGTTTTAGAGGATTTTGCGGCGATAGACTTTCGGAAACCAAATATTTAGGGAATTTATGTGAAGAATAATAACAAAATCCCGACCTCATCGAAGTAATATAAATATTCGAACCAATTGGAGTACAAGAAATAGAACAAAAAGATCAGTATGCTGGGAAAATTTTATATTCTACAAGAACAAACTTTTTTCTCAGGGGGACTTTTCTTCTAACCGTGAAGTTTGGACACCGTTTGGGGAAAAACCAGACGATCATGTGGCAACACTGTTTTAATGAGACACGCACTGTTGGTAAATAACTCCGGATCTGGGTGACAGAGTCAATGTCAGGGGAGAGGATACTACATGTGAATTGCTATTCAACGTATCCACTAATGACGCTATTTGTACAAGAAGTTGCGGTTCTTGTAGAGAAATCATGTCTTATACTTTGTTGTTATTTATATCTGTTTCTTGTGGACCGTCATGAATTAATTTAGTTACTTTTTGTATGATTTTAAATAGATATTTGATAGAAACATCATATATGTTATGAACATCTTTAGGCATACTCCAAGTACCTATTTATATCATTTGTCTAGTACCCATAACACAAGCTCTGCTTAGCTTAGGACTAGATGGTACTGTGTGAATTATCCTGAGATATTATATTGTAATTATTTAATAATACATATGGACGGAAATCACGTTATCATGTAACGCCCGTGATAGCTAGTCCTTATATATCGCCATTCTAAAGCACTAAGTTGCCATACCTTCGTAATTTAAACTATTAACTTCATTATCACGTACTCTGCAATTGAAAACTTACAAAGCCAGCTGTTTAGCAACTGAAGTTGATGAAATAGAACTAAATATTTCTGTTTCATTAACTTCAACCTCTGACCGACTACTAAACATCAGTCTTTCTTCTTCTTTATTTTGAATGGCTACACCAATTTTGATCAGTGATTTTTCATGGTTTGAGAAACTCAGTGGAATTTTGTAGCTGCGGCTTATTTCAAAGTTTGACAATTTCGTTTGAGTTCGGTATTTTATAATTAAAGACAGAACAATATCCGAGGGATAACAAATACTTATTAGTAAAGATTTGATTACTAAGTGGACAACACTAGTTAGTAGGACAAAATCAAATTCAAAAATCATTTAGTCATGTAGGACATTTTAGCCGCTTATGAACGTCAAGTTTTTACTATTTATATTCTTCAGTTCAGTATACAGATGCAATTGAGAACTGGCAAGACCCTCAACTGAATTTTTTTTTAAATGCCAGTTTATTTACAATGTACATTTATATAGGTGTCTATGTCTAACATTAAATGAAAATCCCGTGCATGAACAGCTATTGCCATGCACGCTCGTCATTCAAGTAATCGTTTAGTGAGTAATAGGCTTTGCTCAGTAAATATGAATTAACAGTTTTGGACAATACCTATACAGATAATTAATATTAAGTTAACGGAGAGTCGGTTGGGAGTTACAATTTTAGATTATTGTTAATTATAAGTTTAGCTAATATGTTATCATTACTTCTGATAAGACTTTATACTAAAATAATGATGTAATTTCAGCTGGTGCCAGCACTGCTGCTATTGGCATGCGTGGGAGCGTCACCGCCGCGGAAACACTACAAGCGCGATGGTAAATATTGCACTTTATGTACACACCTCCTCGTCGACCTCTTACCTCAGAGTTCGCGCCATCATTACCACTATGACGAAGAGACAACAGCTACTGTTTGTTTGTTTTTGATGTGCTCGTTTAATATTAACTCGCCTTTACTTAGCCCAGTTTCCTAAAGTGTGAAATTTAGCAACTTATGTCAATTTCTTTCTTTATGACATAATACTGCAGGCTCTTAAATATTACGTCTTCAACGATGTCAACTAAAACAATAATATTTTTAATTGCAGCGCCGCTGAGTTCATCCTACCTGCCGCCCTCCAGTGGAGGCCATGGAGGTGGCAGACCATCATCTTCTTATGGCCCTCCGAGACCGTCGAGCAGCTATGGCGCCCCGAGCCGCCCTTCATCTAGCTACGGTCCTCCAAAACCATCGAGCAGTTATGGTGCTCCAGCCCCATCCAGCAGTTATGGCGCGCCAGCTCCTTCTTCTAGCTACGGAGCTCCCGCACCTTCCAGTTCATACGGTGCCCCAGCACCATCATCTAGCTACGGTGCACCACCTCCTTCGTCCAGCTACGGAGCCCCGCCTTCTCGCCCCTCATCAAGCTATGGAGCTCCTAAACCATCCAGCTCATACGGAGCTCCTGCCAGGCCACCAGCGACGAGCTATGGAGTCCCAACTGGACCTTCTACATCTTACAATGCACGGAGGCCTTCAAGCAGTTACGGTGCTCCAAAACCTTCAAGCTCTTATGGTGCTCCTGCTCCATCTAGTTCTTATGGTGCCCCGGCTCCGTCTAGTTCTTATGGTGCCCCAGCTCCATCTAGCTCTTATGGTGCACCTGCACCATCCAGCTCATACGGTGCACCAGCGCCAGCGCCATCAAGCTCTTATGATGCACCTGCACCATCCAGCTCATATGGTGCACCAGCGCCAGCACCATCAAGCTCATACGGTGCTCCCGCCCCATCCAGCTCATACGGTGCCCCAGCACCATCCAGCTCTTATGGGGCTCCTGCTCCATCCAGTTCATACGGCGCACCCTCGCCATCATCGTCATACGGTGCCCCAGCGCCATCTTCATCTTACGGCGCCCCATCATCAGGATCAAGTCACGGCAGCAGCGGATTCAGCAGCAGTGCATTCAGTGGCAGCGGATTTGGATCAAGCGGTTTCAGTGGCAGTGCTCCATCCTCAAGCTATGGTGCGCCTTCAGCTCCTTCCAGCAGCTATGGCGCCCCTGCTCCTTCTAACTCTTACGGAGCACCAGCTCCATCGAGCAGCTATGGTGCGCCGAGTGCAGGTGGCTCTAGCGGATTTTCGTCCAGCGGTTTCTCATCGAGCGGTTCGGGTGGATTCTCCTCAAGCAGTTCAGGAGGATATTCCTCTGGTGGATCCGGGGGATACTCTGGCGGGTCTTCCGGCGGCTCTGGCGGGTATTCCTCTGGAGGACACGGCTCGAGCGGCGTCCCAGCTACTATCAGTCAGGGTTACGATTCAAATGGTGGTTATGTATACTAAAATAAGACTTTTAATATAATATTGAATGAATTCGATAGTCAAATTGATAAGCGACTCGGATAAGCTTTGCCTTGTCATGAACTCTTCTTTATATATAAACCCAGTTTCTCTCTAATAAGGATCTAAGATGTGAATTTCTACCACGATAAATAAATAAAAACCGTAATAAATATACATGAGTAACTTAATGCAGTATACTTGATTGATTACAGTAGAAATAAATAATAAATATTGTAGTAGCTTGGCTGGTGTTTTAGCGATGGTCATGGTGATCAGCTCGATGGTGACCACCAGCACACAGTTTAGTCTCTCTATTGTTTACCGTCACGCGTGTTTTCTGTCTGCATCGACATGTGTCTAAGCTTACCTATGTTGTTAGCGAATGAACGAAAGTATTAAAATTTATTTAATTGTTTATAACTGTACAAAATTAGATTAAGTAAACATTTTGTATAAATTAAAAAGATTTGTAAATAATTATGAGTGTTTTTTTTTGTTCGATTTCGATCCTTGGTCATTGTGAAAGTGCTCTGTACATATACTAGTTACCCAGGCAGGCTTCACACGGGTGTACATGTATTATACATATAAACCTTCCTCTTGAATCACTCTATCTATTAAAAAAACTGCTTCAAAATCCGTTGCGTAGTTTTAAGGATTTAGGCATACCTACAAAGGGATGGACAGACAGCGTCAGCGACTTTATATAATGATGATCATCATCATTATAATGATTATGATAATATACTAATATTAAAAAAGGGTAAAAGTATCTGTCTGTTACATTGGTAGCCTGTTATATTAACGGCTACTGTTAGTCTGGTAATTTAACACACCACTTTATATCTTAGGGTCGCGGGTTCGATTCCTCGCACTGTTCAAACATATGTATTCATTAGCGTGATTGTTTGTATTAGTGTTTTCGGTACACCACTCTCTTAGTAGGTACTAATATTATAAAAGGGTAAAAGTATCTGTCTGTTGCAATGGTAGCCTGTTATATAACAGCCTCAGTAGTCTGGTGGTTTAACACATCACTTTATTTCTTATGGTCGTGGGTTCGATTCCTCGCTCTGTCTGTTACATTTGTTGCCTGTTATATAACGGCCTCAGTAGTCTTGTGATTTAAGACATCACTTTATTTTTTATGGTCGCGAGTTCGATTCCTAGCACTGTTAAATTTGTGAATGTGATTGTTTAGATTAGTCTGGGTGTTTTCGGTAGTCCTCCTTCATGAAGATGGACAGCATTTTTGTGAGGTCTCGGAGCTTCAATTAATGAATATAAATAAAAAAAACTCATCAACATACTATATGTTTTATTGAAGTCGCTGGAGCGGCCGCAGAATTCACAACATTACACATTTTTTTCACATTTTCAAAATATTCAACAAGAACTAGATATAAGTCAATAGTAGGTACATCTACTATCTAACAGTGGACCGATTGCTTTCTAATACAATTGCGTACTTGTATAAATATAATTATATATATATAGAAATATTATGATTTTATTTTTAAAATGTACTATTCAAAAATAGTCATATTTAATATATATATGTATATATATGAAGTCCTATTTATACCATTCACATTCAATTATTTAAAAGAAAATATAATTAATATATATGTATTTACGAAAAAAAAAATTATCTATGTATTTGTATCAGTTGTCTAGTACCCATAACACAAGCTTTAGATAGCTTAACTTGGGTCTAGATGGCGCTGTGTGAATTGTCCTGAGATTATTATTATAGAATATAGATAAATAATTAACTTTCATTGAATCCCAAAGACAGATAGAAAAATATAAGGGTTTTTAGTTCCTTTTAAGTTTTAAGAACGGCAACCCTGTTGGGAATATAATCTTTTTAATACATATATAAATGTATCCCTATTTCCCTTGGTCTCGGGATCATGTGTGAACGGCTGGACCGATTCTGCTAATTCTTTTTTGCTATCTCTTAGGTACTTATGAAAGAAATAATTAAGAGGATTTTATTTATTAATTAAACCAATATGAAAATACAATATTCATGGTTAAGATAGAACGTTTGTCGTGTCAGTTCGTATATACATATATATGTGTAGTTGGTACGTATGCGTAATAGAAAGCAACGTCGAAGAACAACAACGAGACCTATAGCTACACTTAAATCTATCGATATGTATCAATTTCACACTAAATTCTCTATGATATGTATATATTATATTTAATACTAATTAATCACGAATATTGATATGTGTCGTGGTTGGAAATGTTACGAATCGGGAAGCGAACCCGTGCTACTTTGTAGTACATGTATAATGTTTATATATTATCACATTAAGTAAACAGTTATTTAGCAACATATATTATATATTTTTATAATAATATATCCTTTATTAGCGACAAATATAAACTCTTAAAAAGATATATAAGCCAATAAATTTAAATCGTTACAATATACGTTTACCTTTATGAATAATATTATTAGGTCAAAAAGCGTCAAATACTGACGTAATAGATATAATACATAGATTTATTAAACACTGAAACACGTTGGGATGTCGGCGAAGGAAGGCCGGAGATCAGGGTTGCCAGAATCATAGTATACTTTATAAGTTAGAAAAAATTCATAAAAATCGATCGAGCCGTTTGGGAGGAGTATGGTAACTAACATTCATCATCGCAGCCCGGAAGACGTCCACTGCTGGACATAGGTCTCCCCCAAAGATTTCCACGACGATCGGTCCTGCGCTGCTCGCATCCAATGCCTTCCAGCGATCTTGACCAGATCGTCGGTCCACCATGCTGGAGGCCTTCCCACGCTGCGTCTTCCGGTCCGTGGTCGCCACTCGAGGACTTTACTGCCCCAACGGCCATCTGTCCTACGAGCTATGTGCCCTGCCCATTGCCACTTCAGAGTCGCAATTCTTCGGGCTATGTCGGTCACTCTAGTTTTTCTGCGGATCTCCTCCTTTCTGATTCGATCACGCAGAGTAACTCCGAGCATAGCCCTCTCCATTGCCCTCTGAGTGATTCTGAGCTTATTGATGGGGCCCATAGTTAGCGACCACGTCTCTGTGCCGTAAGTCATCACTGGCAACACACATTGGTCGTAAACCTTCGTCTTGAGACACTGCGGAAATTTGGGCGAAAAGATATATCGGAGCTTCCCGAACTAACATTGTGACACGAGAATTTTATATATATTTCAGTTTATCAGATTAGATCATGTTACATAAGTAACATGATCTAATCTGATAAACATTAGGTCACTGCTGTCCTTACTAGGTCATTTATTGTTATTTCCTGCTTTACTGTCGCGACATCAACGTAGCATCCAGATTGTAGCATTGATCATACATCTATATGGGCCCTCCGATCGATCCCCCGTCCAATTCAAACGGGGATTGATATTACGACGGCCGGAGCCGAGGTTCGAACCCCTAGCGGTGCTCTCAGACTAAAGACGTATCCGTCAGGCGGGAGTTGGCCTTCAGCCGCTCCTTCATCCTTCCTTGGTTTGGAGTGCCATCTGCACATGCCCTCTAACGTCCGGTCCGGTCCTCTAAAGGCCACCTGCGGCCAACAGCATTAGTGTAGTCCGAAAAAAGATAAAAAAAACGCGTGTTCACCCGTGATCATGGGTTGAAACACTGTCGAAATATCGGGAACTCGATTGAAAATTGATAAAACGTGATAAGATCCCGTGATTTTTCCTAGTTAAATATACTTTTAGGAAATTATAATCTTCCATACTGAATACAGGGACCCTAATCATCTTAGTATTTTGGACATTATGAGTAAATTATTTATATTCCAGATTTGAATATTGTACAATATGAGTAAATTATTTATATTCCAGATTTGAATATTGTACAATATGAGTAAATTATTTATATATTCCAGATTTGAATACTGTATACAATATGAGTAAATTATTTATATATTCCAGATTTGAATATTGTACAATATGAGTAAATTATTTATATTCCAGATTTGAATACTGTACAATATGAGTAAATTATTTATATATTCCAGATTTGAATATTGTACAATATGAGTAAATTATTTATATTCCAGATTTGAATATTGTACAATATGAGTAAATTATTTATATTCCAGATTTGAATATTTTACAATATGAGTAAATATTTCATAATCCATATTTTAATATTTGTACACCTCGTTTAGTAAATATATAATATACGAAGTTAGTAATATAAGAGATTTTTTAGTTCCTTTATACGAGGCAAAAAGTTTCAAGACTGGCAACCCCGCCGTGGACACACAATTCTGAACACCGAGATACGTTTAATTGTAAGTTTGTATCGTACACAGCGATATTATATCTCATAAACTTTCACATATATTAACAATCACAAATATATATAAATGCATTATAGTATATAATAAACCCAGCCATATTTGCTTCCCACTAAGAGACATTTCTAACGCAAGCGCCTTTAGGCCGACCATCAATTTTCAACCTTCAAAATATGGCAATAAAATTTATTTATTACATTTTCTGTAACTTTTATATAATGATTTACATCTATGAAAAACATTAAAATAAAGGAATCTAATTGTTGAAAGACTGAAATCGTTATTTAAATTAATGAACATATAAATTAAGAGTCAATCGGCTGTATACAATCATTCAGTAGTCAGGTTATCCTATTACGAGTAGCGTTCTGTTAAACTAAAGCGCCATTTTGTTCCTATTGCACGGTCTCTTTGGTTTTAACCATTATACAATCTATCAATAGTGGATTGATGATCTTATTGCTAGCAATGTACCATGTCCTCTTGACCTCCACTCGGTTCCCCCTGGAAACCATCGTGATAAATTAGTGGTGAATTTGTCACGATGGGCTGACTAACCTGACCTCATGCTCATCTTATCATCCTCCACCGGTGCCCCGCCAGTGTAAACCGTTAGAGCAGGCGAGGGCACCATTCCATTATCTATACATATACATAAAATTGGAGTGTCTGTTTGTAATATTGAAATAACCGTTTTTACTACATGCATATGAATATAAATACGGTACATACACCAAAATAACATTTTTTACAATTTTTGTCTGTCTATCTGTCTGTCTGTTTGTTCCGGCTAATCTCTGAATTGGCTGGATGGATATTTACGGGACTTTTATTGGCAAGTAGCCGATGTAATAAGGAGTAACTTAGGCTACTTTTATTTTAGAAAAAATATTTTATTTCAGAAAAATAAAGTTAAATTCCATGTGGACGAAGTCACGGGTATAGCTAGTTATCAATAAATGCGGTAATATATCTGCGATATTCAACGGAACGTTTGTTACATACGAGAACCTGACGACTAAACGGCAGTATACTGCCGCTCTAAGTGACCATTAGTTCAGGTCAAATTATTATGCATTTTAATGCCAGCTTCATGGCAACCCTTAGAGGATTAATCTTTCAAGCTTATTGAACAATAAAACTATGATAACATCAAATAAAATTATACAATATCAACCATATAAAGATTTTTTTAAATTACTGTCTTTATATTGTTTCAAGCTTAAATTGTGCATTAGTTGTTCAATATATATATAAATATAAAACGTATTGATTATTCATATTATTAACCGAGTCTTAAAATAAAAAATTTTAAGATATGTAGAATAAAAACTGCCGGCACCTATCTACATTGACATCGCTGTTACTCCAGTCAGCTCCTGACCACGGCCAGTGCAACCTAGTCGAAACGTCGAGAGAGGTAAATCACCTAACCTTTATCATTACTAATATAATAAATGCGAAAGTAACTCTGTCTGTCTGTCGCGCTTTCACCCCAAAACTACTGAACCGACTTAAATCAAATTTCTTACACAGATAGTCTAGATACTTAGAATGGAGGCTACTTTTTATTGCGAAAAAACGATTGTAAGTGGTTGTAAGGGAAGGTGAAAGGTTGTGAAAGCGAGACAGCTTTCACGGCAAAACTACTGAACCGATTTAAATGAAATTTGGTACACAGATAGTCTAGAACCTGAGAAAGGACATAGGCTACTTTTTAATCTGAATAAAAGATTGTAAGGGGTTAAAAGGATTATTTATTTTTCCATATATGGAAGTATCGACAATACACACGGACGATGTCGCGGGAATACTAGTTTAACATAAAACGGTTAATAATATGAATAATGTATATTAAAACTTAGTTTAAAAATAACTTAAACGTTATGATATGTATTTTAACATCACCAAACATGCACCGTAAGCTATAGGATTGTTTCTACGTGTAAATATATTGCAATCATTTAATATTTAGTCATTACCCGAATATTACTTTGGTCATGTGTGCTTCATTACATGTACATACCAAGTGTGGACAGACTAACACGCACATTTTATATATAGATGATCTACAAAGCACATAACATATAGTGCCCATCATCTGTCTACTTTAATTGACTTAAATAAGGAATCTTTATCAATTTAAATAATGTATATATACTTATAAATTTTTTTCTAACAACGAATAAATATTTCACATTTTGATATGTTTGAGTTGCACTGATCAACTGATCATATAGGACGATCACTGATCGGTTGTAATATTCATTAATATAGATTACATTCCGCTACGAAAACACATTTTTTCATACAACTATAAACAAACCATTGCTTCAATGCGTTCCTCATTACTTGCTACGTACATATATTTTAAGTATATATCTATGGTTCGTGCGATTATTGATCAAGATCATACTGATCACAATATATGAAGTGATCATATATGAAGTTTATGTAATATTGAACATATAAAAATGTTTATAACGGAAGATATGGCGATTGATACATTGAGCAGTAATCTAATTTTTGAAAAATACTGAAATACAAATTGTAGACTGACTTTTGACTGGAATAGAATCTGAATCAAATCGAATAGACATCAATTAATTGTAGTACAATTCATTCAAATCAAATCAAATCAAAATCTTTATTCATGTAGGTCTATTACAGACTCTTATGATATGTCAAATCTATTATATATTTCGGAATGATTTCGAGATTTTAACTCGTAAATTAAACGTTCACTTAATCTTGAACAAATGATAAATATATTTCATTGAATTGACAATATCATAAATATAATTAAATCTTGTATCTTGGGCCCTCACTGGACACTCCAAATTAAATAAACACATAGCAAACTTAGCCCTGTGCTTAAAGAAATTTGCAGATTTTGCCAGAGTTGAAGAGGAAACGTCAGTACACATCCTATGTGGTTGCAGCCCACACGTATAAACGAAATATCTCCTTTGGAAAGTATACACCCTATCCTGAGGAGATAAAACCATCGCTTCTAAAATTATCCTTTAATTCTTAGCCCTGACGGGTATAGGTAGCGAACTTTGAAAAAGGGCGAGCTATATTATATAGGTCGCGGAGTTACAGGTCTAAAACGCCTGAAAATGGCCCAAGACCCCTAAAAAACACAACTTGTTAAAAACCACAATTAAAACCCCTAAATTCAGAATATAAATGAATTAATTATACCAAAAAAAAACAAGTATATGGTATCATCGAGTCGCGTCATTCCTTCGATTTATCGATTTGATTTCGATTTCATTAAGTCAAAACTCAGCCTGCAAATCATTCGATGTAATGATTACGAAACCAAGTCGCAAGAGTAAAATCTTCGTAAAATATAACACGCTCGTATCACGTCGTGTCACGTTTATGAGAATTAGTTGGGATAGTCTCAGAATGCCGTTTGTTTGCCGAACGGTTGGACCGGCGGGGGGGCACTACTGTTACCGAACAATGGGGTGGGGCCATCGTTGGGGTCGTCCAGATCGTCGTCGTCTGGCTCCAGGGCTGGGTTGATGCGGCCAGCCTTCTCATCAGGACCGACTAGTGTGGATGCTGCACCGTACAGCCGGCCAGGTACGCCGCCCAGCACGGACATCTGCTCTCCAGCCTCTGAGGGCTCATCTACACGTCGGATATCTTCAGGGATGTTCACGACACAGTTGAAGTAGTCAGACTCGGGGCTCAGGTAGCCAGAGTTGAATAGGTACCTGCGGATTGTAATTAGATGTAAACAATAGGTATATAGTAAATAGACGGCCTCGGTGGTCTAGCGGTTTAGCACACCGTTTTACTTCCGATGGTCGCGGGTTCGATTCCGCGCACTGCACAAACATTTGTATTCATGAGTATGATTGTTTGTATCGGTCTGGGTGTTTCCTATGTATGTATGTATGTATTTACAAAAGAAAATTATGTATTTGTATCAGACAACTGTGTCTAGTACCCATAACACAAGCTTTAGCCCAGTGTATAGTGCCCATAATACATTTGACATAGTATAAAATCAGCCTATGTCCAGCAGTGGACGTCTTCCGCGCTGAGATGATCATGATGATGATTATGAAATGTTGTACCTTTCGCTGTCTGCTCGCTTAAATCTTTTAAACTACGCAACGAATTTTGGAGCGGTTTTTTTAATAGATAGAGTGATTCAAGAGGAAGGTTTATATGTATAACTAATCATTACATAGTATAAAACAAAGTCCCTATCGCTGTCTGTCCGTCCCGATGTATGCATGAATCTTTAAAACTACGCAACGAATTTTGAAGCGGTTTTTTTAATAGATAGAGTGATTCAAGAGGAAGGTTTAAGAAGTATTATTATTAATTAGGTATAGTTTTTGCGGCTTTACTTTTGTTTCCTTTCTTAGGGGATGCCTACATCGTAGTAGTTTTAGGCATGCAAAGTCTCAGCCAGATGGGTTTAAAATTGACAAAGTTTCATACACACTTTCATCCCCTATTTTATACCCTTAAGAGTCGATTTTTCAAAATCCTTTCTTAGGAGATGCCTACGTCATAGTAGCTTTATGCATGCAAAGTCTCAGCCAGATCGGTTTAAAATTGACAAAGTTTCATACAAACTTTCATCCCCTATTTTATACCCTTAGGGGTAGAATTAATCAAAATCCTTTCTTAGCGGATGCCTACGTCATAACATCTACCTGCATGCCAAATTTCAGCCCGATCCGTCCAGTGGTTTGGGCTGTGCGTTGATAGATCACTACGTCAGTCACCTTTGAGTTATATATATTTAGATACTGTGTACACCGGTACAACGTCGGAGCTACCAGCTAGTAATATAAAGAAACGTTTTCTTTCCCGTAAGGTATTAACAGATGCGTATTGTATTCGAAAATATACATATATATGTACCTAATATTACCTAATGGAAATGTCATTCAAAGAACATATGAAATATTATACAATACCTACTAAAAATATTTTCCCCGACGTGACACGTGTCTGACAATTCAACATTTTAAGTAAAGACAAGTACCTACATCTTCATATTGTTTTCTTTTACATTATGGATTACGGCAATATGTTTTAAGTTATGATTTTAACATTTACTAATGGTAGTATTATCATTACTGTTGAAAAACTCTTTTGATATATTTAAAGTTTTCTTATATTCTACATATAATCAAAACTATAAAAATAAAATTATATTATTTCACTTCACTCTCTAGCATCTTATCATGAAATACATTTTTCCAGTCATAAATAGTTTTACTACATATTTTTACAACAATTACATAGTATAAAACAAAGTCGCTGTCGCTGTCTGTCCGTCCTTATGTAGGCTTAAATCTTTAAAACTACGCAATGGATTTCGAAGCGATTTTCTTTAATAGATATAGTGATTCTAGAGGAAAGTATAATGTATGTACACCCGGGCGAAGCCGCGGCGAGTAGCTAGTTTTAAATAAAGTCAACTGTCTGTCTATCCCTATATATGCTTAAATCTTTAAAACTACACAACGGCTACTTTTATTTTAGAAAAATAAAGTTAAATTCCACGCGGACGAAGTCGCGTGTACAACTTGTTTTATTACCAAAAACCTTGCCTGACGAGAGAGCTGTTCTGGATTTAGAACACTTACAAAGTAAATTCGTTTTTATTACTAGTATTTACATAACCTAATTGTACAACTAAGAACCTAAAATTAAAAAGCTTAAAAAATATATATAATAAATATGATGACTAAAATATATTATTAAAAGAGGTCCCTTTAGGCAACGATCCGAAGACTGTGAATGGCTAGACTAATTCTTTGTCCAAGGTAGCTGCCAGCTCTTCGGTCTTCTGTGATGTTGACTAACCTTTTCGTTATTTCTTTGAAAAGTCTTATAGCGCTAGGACCCCACGGACCAAGGGTCTCGACACCGAATGGGACAAATTCATATTCGGAGCCTAGACCCCTGTATTTACATATTTTGGCTTTTTCAGCCGCTTCACATGCCGCACCAACTCTGTTGTTGGTTCCATGTAGATGGGATGGGGCCAGCGTGTCTGCACAGGTCCCATACCAGCACCCGGCCCATCTTGTTTTTATATATAAAGATTAGGGATGTTGAGGAGCTCCATAACCATAACCGAATCCGAAATAAAAGTTTCTGACAATATCGGATAGGAGCGGAGACTAATTGAGACACGTTATGTAACCATTTTATTAGCTATTTGTATTTTACTTTGAAATTCCTTAAAAAAAATTATCCGAAAGTAACGGATAATTCGATATAATTTCATATCTGCATCCGGTATAATAATCATTCCTATATCCGAAACCTATCCGTATCCGAAATTTCATATCCATAACATCCCTGATGAAGATAGTCTGAGTTCACCACCCATACTAAACTGGCAACTATATAAATACCTATACATTGTAAATAAACTGGCTTTTTAAAAAAAAAGTAATTCAATTGAGTTTCTTGCCAGTTCTTCTCAATTGGATCTATATACCGAACTGTACGGTAGGGAAAAAAATTATAATGTAAAAACTTGACGTTCATAAGCGGCTAAAATGTCCTACATGAATAAATGATTTTTAAATGAACGTAGGCAGATACCTTTCTCACGACATAATTATTAGGTACAATCCACGCCGAGGTATGACCAAATCATAGATCTCCATTCACAATTGCAGCATTTGGAGGCTTTAGTTAAACACACAATCGGTATCTCATAAACTATGTATTCATAGCCAAGTGATAGTAACAAAGTTTATAATAAATATTACCTTTGCAATTTTTCTATTATTGTAAAATCTTATTTCAACAATGACACAATAACTATTACATAATTTGTAAAGTACGTCTTTACGTCATAACCACCAATAAAGGAATCATCATAAAACCTGAGAAATAGAAGTAGATATAATCTTTATTCAAATAAACTTAATGCAATTTTGAATAGTCTCATCTTTTTATTCTACCAGAATGCGGTACTCATCACAAGAAGAATGAGCAAGAAACTTGTGTGTTGCTGTTTTAAATAAATATTGTTTTAATTATATTTACATTAACAAGGATTAGGCATGCGAAAATCAACATAGAAACCGCTACGCACTTAATCTCTGTTCAATCAGATAACATTATCAGCGCTATGAATTTTAAGTTAGATATTTTCTACAAAAACATTATTATCATTTATAAATTCTTCAATTTTATAATAAGCTTCTTTACAAAGAAAATATTTTATAACACATTTGAATTTTTTCTAACAAACTGAGTACAGACTCTGGCAGTTTGTTGTAAAACATGTAACAATGTCAGGTTACTCTTGGAAACGTGATAAATTCCTGGTAAATTTACCACGATGGGCTAACTGACCTGACCTCATACTCATCTTATCATCGTCCACTGGTGCCCCGCCAGCGTAAACCGTTAGCGCAGGCGGGTGCACCATTCCATTATCATCCATAAGAAAGAAATATTCCTCTTGAATCACTCTAACTATTGCTGAATTTAAAAGATTTAAGCGAACATACAAACAGAGCGTCTTCTTTTTATACTATGTGTAGATTTTATTCTTCTTCCTTCTCTTACCTCTGTCCTAGAGATGTGCAAACTCGTAATAAACATGACTCGAGTTAACTCGAGTTGATTCGAGTTACTTATAATATTTTATTTTTAAATTTTTCGAACCTATCTAATGTTTTTGGGCGCAGCTAGCCTTGAAAGCTTCACCGAACTATAGGGGGCGAGTAGAAATGACACTTTAAAGCCGTGGAAGGACTTATGGAACGCATAATTATTTTAATGATAACATAATAAATAATAATTTGACAGCCTCGGTGGTCTAGTGGTTTAGCACACTGCTTTACTCCCAATGATCGCGGGTTCGATTCCTCTCACGGAGCAAAAATTTGTATTCATGAATATGATTGTTTATATCGACCTGAGTGTGATATTAGTTGCGTAGTACCCATAACACAAGCTCTGCTTACCGTGGGACTAGATGGCGCTGTGTTAATTGTCCAGGGTATACACATTCCATTTCATAACTACAATAAGAAACTTATACTCACACAGACAGCCAGGATATGAAGGCCAGCGTGAACAGAGACATCACCATCGCCATGGTCCTGAACGGGAACAGCTGCACTTCGTTCTCAGCGTCCCAGCCAGGGTAGTGGATGAGGGCTGGTAGACCCAACAGCTTCTCGCCTCCGGACAGCCTCACCACAAGAGCTACGATGTACGCAGCGAGAGAGCCGTACGTGTTGCAGTGCTTCTTGAAGTGGACCACCATCAGCAGTTGAGGAAACAGGATGACGTAGACCAGGTCCGAGCACATCGACCTATGGAAACCATACATATTTCAAAATTGGAAAAGCAATTAGACCTCACTGGTCTAGTTAGCACACCGCCTTACATATGATGGTCGCGGATTAAAATCTCGCACGGTGCATTTTTTTTTTTTAATTATTTTGGACTAACAAACAGTAATTCGTACAATGTATGATGAGATTAATTATATAATGAGGCAAATTTGTTTAGAGTAGTAGTATGTAATATTAAGTTATCTGTGGTAATAGTGAATTTTATACAAAGTTATTAATATCGACTTAAAATGCTTATTTATTAATATCACAGATAAAATTGTTACAAAGTCTGACCAACCATCTTTTTAAATAATGATGGTCCAGTGGCAAATATATATATATATAAACACCTCTTTGGGCACTTTGTTGATCACGCCACAAGCGAAACACTTGCTGATTCCACCTTTTGCACTGAATAACTTCACACCTATCGCGTATATCTCAGGCGGTATGGCAACGTCGCATTCTATTTTGCGATGCGGCCATATATATTCGTCGATAGTACGATATACTCGACACTTTTTTTACTAATAATTCGTGACTGAATGGGTCCGAACGGCTAAATTTTTGGTATACACAAAGACTTTTTGGCTCTGAATATATTCCAAAAATCAATTAATTATGTTGATCACTTTATATACTCGTCCTTACTGCGATACTTATTTTCATCCGAATATATATAGATACCGTAACGGTCTATCAAGTATGAATTTATTAATTTACTAATGTAGATATTTTATATTCGCAATGCTCCATACATGCAAGCTCCAGCAACGGTGGAGGCAGGGTCTCCCCTGCACCGTACACCGCACCCCGCGCACACAAACAAATTAGATATTTTTTGAATACACAAAGACTTTTTGGCTCTGTATATATATTTCAAAAATCTATTAATTGTGTTGATCACTTTATATACTCGTCCTTACTGTGATACTTATTTTCATCCGAATATATATAGATACCGTAACGGTCTATCAATTATGAATTTATTCATTTACTAATCTAGATATTTTATATTCGCAATGCTCCATACATGCAAGCTCCAGCAACGGTGGAGGCAGGGGGGAGCACCGTACACCGCACCCCGCGCACACAAACAAATTAGAATAAATTAAATTCATAAGATTATTTATATATTTCGACTGCCTCGGTGGTCACACCGCTTTACATCCGATGGTCGCGGGTTCGATTTCTCGCACGGTGCAAACATTTGTACTCATCGGTCATCGATTGTTTTCATCGGTCTGGGTGTTTTATATGTATATTATATATGTATTTACAAAATAAAAATCTCTATTTATATCAGTTCAGTATCAGTCTGTGTTAATTGTCCAGGGCTATTTATTATATTTTTATAAACGGTTATCTTTTTCCATCGCACCGCTCGCTATCGACAGTGAATTCATAGAAATCTCACTCTAAAAACAAAAATAGTTTTGTGTTTTGTATTTCAAATACTAAATGCAAAATAGGTATTTTCAAATTACTTTTTCAAAATAAAGTACCTTTTGAATTTTTGTCCAAATGTCAGACATTTTATTTATTTTAGGTATGTCAATCATTACATAGTGTAGTATAAAACAAAGTCGCTGTCGCATCTAACAGTACATAAACAAAGAAAGAAGACTTTTTGGCTCTGATACCGTAACGGTCTATCAATTATGAATTTATTATACCTAATCTTTTATATTCGCAATGCTACGTACATTGTAATATCCGCCTCCATTCATTGTAACGGTGGAGGGACTAAATAGTTGAATAAAACTGAATAAGCAGTTGCTCCACTCTATAGGTACTGCGTCGTCGTCGTATGCTGTTCATTTTTTCACTCGTTTTGGCGCCAAGAGAGGGTCACATAGTCGTGGTCAAGTTAAGAACTTATAATTTAATTTTGATAACAATAGATACAAGTAAAAAGTAGGTATTATATTAATGTACGTAAGTACTGTGCTTAAAAATATTTATTCTTTTTTGTACATTTGAAAAACTTAACACTTAAGGACTTGTACATATACATGTACATACTGCCATTTTCTCTTAAAGACATCCAGAGAAGCACTATTTATCAAATACGCGGGGTGCACCGACCTTTGACCTTATAACAGCTGATTCGCGCGTAACGAATTACACTGCTACTTTTTGGTATTTTATAGTGGATATTTCACTATAAAATATTATTATTTCTTTAGATTATGACATAATAACATAGTTTACATGATTTTAAGGGAAACATACGATAAAAAAAATTCCCGTAAAATCTAAAAGATAAAAAATGGTTATTGTTGGTTATCCTTAAGAGATAGACATATACCATCACGGACTTTTTTGTTGACCTTATTTTGATACATCTCAAAGCACTAGACAATACGCATTTTCATTAAACAGTATTGTATTTTTTTAATTTCTTTAACTTTAATGCACAAAAAATATTTGTACATTTGGCGGACTTAATATTTTGCCGCGTTATTTACCAGGCAACCATGAGTGGTGCAGCGAAAGATTATTGGCGGTGGACTAATATAAATAAGAAATGTCAAAAAAAGATTTATAAAGATAATAAAGATAAGCAAAATATACATTTCTATAAAAAATAACAATATACATACATAAATATATATGCAAATATAACCCATAAATGTATAAATAAATACATAATGATCCGATAATCAAATTATAAATAAGTACAGTCTCAAATTGAAAGTAAGTAAAACAGAAAATATAGAGAGAACTATAGGGATATAACAGAAAGATGTGAAAAAAGGAGAAGGACAGTAAAAAGTTACAAATTTAAATAATGTTGCCGCAATTTCTGTTTAAATGAATTTATTACATTATTATATATATTAGGCATACGACTAGCCTTATGACTGTTACTTTTTTTAATCCATACATCTATACATGTAAATAAAATTGGAGTGTCTGTTTGTAATATTGAAATAACCGTTTTTTACTACTTGCATATGAATATAAATACGGTACATACACCAAAATAACATATTTTACAAGTTTTGTCTGTCTGTCTGTCTGTTTGTTCCGGCTAATCTCTGAAATAGCTGGACCGATTTTGACGGGACTTTTTTTGGCAAGTCGCTGATGTAATAAGGAGTAACTTACGCTACTGTTATTTTAGAAAAATAAAATAAAATTTCACGCGGACGAAGTCGCTGGGGCCAGCTAGTCTATAGATATACCGAGATTTAATGTTTAAGTTGCTATTATGTTATTTACAAAATTTTACTGTAATGTTACTATTACGTTATCCTACACAATTTGTATTATTTTGGATGAATAAATAAATAAATAAATAATAATCTATACATATAAATAAAATTGGAGTACCTTCATATGAATATATATAAGGTACATATACCAAATTAACAATTTTTATAATTTTTGTCTGTCTGTCTGTCGGTCTGTTTGTTCCGGTTAATATCTGAAATGGCTGGACCGATTTATAAACTTAGGCTACTTTTATTTTAGAAAAATAAAGTTAAAAACCACGCGGACGAAGTCGCGGGAATAGCTAGTGTTATACACTAGCTATTCCCACATATAAAACACGTAGGTATCTCTAATATATTATAATATATTAGAGATACCTACGTGTTTTTTTTATTGATGAGTAGCTGTACTCGGGATTTCGTCCGTGTGGAATTTAAATTTATTTTTCTAAAATAAAAGTAGCCTAAGTTACTCCTTATTACATCAGCTACCTGTCAAAAAAGGTCCCATCAAAATCGGTCCAGCCATTTCAGAGATTAGCCGGAACAAACAGACAGACAGACAGACAAAAATTGTAAAAAAATAAATTTTAGTACATGTACCGTATTTATATTCATATGCTCGTAGTCAAAAACTATTATTTATGAAGTTACATTCCACGCGAACGAAGTCGCGTGTACAGCTAGTTGTCGGTAGTCTAGCGATTCAGCTAGCACACCGCTTTGATTCCTGCTTGGTGGTCGAGGGTTCGATTCCTCGCACGCTGCAAACATTTGTATTCATGAGTATGATTGTTTGTAACGGTCTGGGTGTTTTCTATGTATAGATAATATATATTAATTTACGAATAAAATCTTTGTATTTGTATCAGTTGTCTGGTACCCATAACACAATGTTCAGCTAGCTTAACTTGGGTCTAGATGAAGCTGTGTGAATTGTCCTGAGATTACTATTATTACTATAATAAATCTTTTCAAATCAGCCGATGTTTATTTTTGCCGTAATACGTGCTGTTACCATGTGATAATATTACGTACTTACTGTTTGATAATGTGATAATATTACGTACTTATTGCTGTTTTAAATGTGATGCGTTCATTATTTATATTTCCTTTGAATTAAAGACAAGTATATATATATATATATAACTTAGTTGCACACGATGTTGATCCAGCCACGACCCGTAGATACATTTGCTGATTCCGCTGTCTCTCTCTTTCTATCACTATAACGGTATCGTGGCGGAACGGCAACATGTTGCCGTTCCGCGTTCCCGCGTGTTCCCTAGATAAAGTATTCGTCGATAGTACCTGTACTCGATATATATTTTTTCAACAATTTCCTGCAATAGTGACTCCGTATTAGCAAATTTTTTTAAATGCACAAAAACTTTTTGGCTCTGAATATATTTAAAAAATCATTTACTTGTGTGTTGATGAATTTATATACTAGTACATGAAGTACCTAAAATACTTGTTTTGATCCGAATAGGTAGCGATATTATGAATTTATTATACGTAATCTAAAGATTTTGACGAAATAAGAGTAATTAGTTATCTGTTAACCTTGACTTCATGCTGGCACCAGTATTATCAGATGATGAACATACTCTTCGAAAACTTACAGCAGAAATATCGTGTTTGGACTCATTAGATTGGTCTCGATGAATAGAGTTTAAAAAACTTAAAATAAATGGTAAATTAGAAATAACGTATAAAAACACTCTACGCAAAATTCAACCACTTTAAAACTTA